AAAAAAATAAGGCTGGTTAACATATCATAAGCTTGATGTGTGATTCACCACCACTTAAAAAAAAGTTTGGAAACTGCTAGTTTTGACAATAGTTACTATTATATGGTTTATCCTGCATATTTTCTGTTAGGAATCAGGGATTGTATGTGTTGATTAGGAATCTAAGTAATGGATGTATGAAATTCTGTCATTAACACATGCACATTGATTTTTTTGTGTGAAATGTATATAAAACATATATATATGTATAGGTACATATATATATATGTATAGGTAAATAAACTTTTTGGACACTATATTCTTCTCCAGTTACCATTCCCTCTCCTGTCTTTCATGGTCAGTCAATGTCGATTTTAAGTTGTAGCACGTTTGTGCTCATGCCTTAGCATCTCGCCTGGTCTTTCCTGCCTCCTTTACCTGGCACGATAGCCCTCTGCAGGCAGAGTGCGTGTGTCGGGACTCCTCGAGCTCTCTCCTGTCTCAGCACGGTACCATGCCTACCGACAGAGCCCTCATCTCTGGCTGACACCCCTGAGTGCCTGAAATCTTACATTTCCTCGTAGTCTTTCATAATAACAAATATTTATTGAGTTGTAGTAGAAGGTGAATAAAAATAGCTTGTGCCTTCAAGGAGCTTGAGTTCTAATCCTACTTCTGCCATTTACAAGGATGATTCAGTGCTGTTCTAATAAGGAGGATTACATTTGCAAGTAATTATAGAGGAGCTAAGAGTGAAAAAAGTGCTAAGGTATGAAATGCCAGCCACTCCACGATGCATTTTGCATATTTCTTACGGACACGGCAGGTCTCCTGTAGGAAAACAGCAGATTAGGGTGGGATGGTGGGTTGGGGAAGCGGCATGGATTGCCTTGGATGTTGGAAGACTGTGACTGATTACACAGGCTGGTGGGAAGCAGAGGGCTGATCAGAGCTGGGTTTCAAGAATGTTAATCTGGCAGCTGTATGGACCTGGAGAAGGAGCTCACTGGAGACCAGGAGTGGTAAGGAGTCTATTACAGATGCACAGATAAGAAGTAATGAGAGCTTGCTCAGATGGTGGCAAAGACAGACCACGAGGAAAAGGCACTGGGAGGAAAAAAAAAAAAAAAAAGGTCTGCCTTGGTGATTAAAGATAATTGGATGCAGGGGAGAAGTCAAAGCTAACTGTACTGGGCTTTGTCATTAACACAAATAGGAAATTAGGAGTGGTTTGGGGGAGGAAAATGATTAATTTTACCTTGGATATTGTATTAATTAGGGCTCTAAATTAATTAGAATTTAGCAGCTTAACTGACAAACATAATATCACACACATTTTCTGAGAGTCAGGAGTCCAGGAGTAGCTTAGGTGGATGGTTCTTGCTTAGCTCCTCTTAGGAGGCTGGAGTCAAGATGCTGGCCAGGGCTACAGTTCCTCTGAAGGCTTGCCTGGGGCTGGCAGGTTAGTTTCCAAAATATCTCACTCACAGAGCCATTGGCTGGAGGCTGTGGTTCCTTGCTGGCCATTGGCAGGGGGCCTCCATGATACTGCTTGAGTGTCCTCACACTATGGCGGCTAATTTCCCCTGGAATGAGTGATCCAAGGGAGCCAGCCAGGAAGAGACCTCAGTGCTTTTTATGACCTAGTCATGGAAGCTACATATCATCCCTTCTGCCATAATTTATTCATTAAAAACGAGTCATTGGGGTGCCTGGGTGGCTTGGTCACTTAAGCCTCTGGCTCTTGGTTTCCTCTCGGGTCACGATCTCTCAGTTCATGGGTTCGAGCCCCACATCGAGCTCCGTGCCGGCAGTGCAGAGCCTGCTTGGGATTCTCTCTCTCCCCCCGCCCCTCTCTGCCCCTCTCCCACTCACACTGTCTCTGTCTCTCTCAAGTAAATAAACTTTAAAAAAAAGAGTACAAATCTAGCACATACTCAAGGGGAGGTTAGACTCCACCTTTTGAAGGGAGGAATGTTGAAGAATTTGTGGACATTTTTTTTTTTAATTTTTTTTTTCAACGTTTATTTATTTTTGGGACAGAGAGAGACAGAGCATGAACGGGGGAGGGGCAGAGAGAGAGGGAGACACAGAATCGGAAACAGGCTTCAGGCTCTGAGCCATCAGCCCAGAGCCCGACGCGGGGCTCGAACTCACGGACCGCGAGATCGTGACCTGGCTGAAGTCGGATGCTTAACCGACTGCGCCACCCAGGCGCCCCATGTGGACATGTTTTAAAACCACCATACGTATATTGTTTTGAGGACAAATGAAATGGGCATTCAAGTGAAAAGGTCAGGAGAAAGTAGATGGAGATGGAGAGATGGAGATGGAGAGCTTCCCAGGCAAGCTTGTTTACGTCACGATCTCTCTCAACCAGTCTAGTTATTAGTGGCCGTTGTTCCCCTTCCCAGATTATATTATTCCAATTATCCTAGTATTTTTTTAAAGTTTATTTTTATTTATTTTGAGAGAGACAGAGGGCAAGCGGTGGGGACAGAATCCCAAGCAGGCTCTGTGCATCAGCACAGTGTCCATGCGGGGCTCAAACTCACAAACGTGAGATCATGACCTGAGCTG